GAAAACTTGACCTCTGACCTTGACATCGAGGTCACTGAAATTAGAACTCTTCCAAGATTTTTAGTAGCTGCAACTATAGTTTGAATTTCAAAATATTATGCCACCTCGTTTTTGAGTTATTGCATTCAGAAAACTTGGGTCACCACGCCATCCGCCAGGGGAGTATTGACAATACCCATCACAGGAGTGTGTGACGGTGCAGCTCAAGCATGAAGGAGTCTTTGCATCAACTACATGAACATTTCTGACTCACACTGGAATAAATTGGCCGTGGATAAATCAATGAAATGTTTAAAACCAGTTGCATGGATCATAGTGTTAAAAGGGCAAAAGGGCTCTGCGTCAACCAGCAGAGCACTGTAAATCCCTTATTAGTCATTAAATCTTTGGAGCAGCATGTGATTTATGTGACTGCAATTATTTTGTTTTTCTTGAAACAAACAAGCTGTGAAGAAGTTATAAACTTGACTCTCTTAGTCAAAAGCATAAAACTCCAAAGTAAAGTCCTGAAGTAAAACAGTTGTTTTATTACATGGAAATGATTGGCCAGCTGAAAAATGTTGAAAATTCAATCAACTAGTGGGAATTTTTAAATTAATGGCTCCAGTAGGATAGACATGCAAATCCTGGCACTTATATCCACTTTGGAAAGATTGTTTCATTTCTCTGATCCACTACAGTGCTTCACGTTGTTACACCAAAACTACCAAAAATAAATGTATCCATATAAGTGACTGTCTACGACTGTTTTTCTGTCTTTCTTTTCTTTTTTCTTTATTAGCAAGTGTATTTTTGCATTCATAAACTCTGTTTCGTAAGCCTGAAACTCCTTGCAGTACAGAACTGCTGGTCCAACATACAGTAAAATGTAAGATTGTAAGATAAATGATTGCTTAGAATAACTTTCATTGCCACTAAGTTAGAGCTCAGTTAGTGTCATGTCATTTTGAAAGGGAAGTGTAATTAGGGGCAATAAATTTCATGGTATTACTCGAGCTGAATAATTCTGATGTATTGTGAATTACGACTTAACCCATTTGCATAGACTGGGTTGCAATTTTTTTACTTTGCACATATTGTCGGTCACTGAAACATGTTTGAATAACCATTCCTTTGTTAAATCAAAGCTTAAGGCACTGGCTCAGAATGGGTGTCCTTTTCATTTTTG